AGTTTATGTATGTTGAGAAGAAACGACAGATCTGTTGCTAATAATCAAACTAATAAACAGTTCTTATTGTTGTTATTGTTATATTTTATATTCAGATTTCGGAAAACTCAGGTGCGTATTTTCAATAGTTAAAACAATATATATTTTAAATATATGGTATGGTTTATTTTAAACTGCGCTCAATTTAAATTATGCTATAAGTATAAGAAACTTATAAGCATGAAATTTATTAGGTTTCTTTATAATTGAAAAGTATTAAACCTTATCAGGTTTAATTGAATAACCAAATAAATCTATGCGATAGGTTGTCGGCAGGGATATCAAAATTTTAATCTTTGGGTTATCTTTAATTGTAACTGCAATCTGATTTGATTTTATTAAAGAATGGTATAGTATATTTTAGCCTTTTGTTTTGATACCTACTGCAATGTGAAGCCGTTATAAAGAACTGAACTGAACTTTTATAAATTTAGCCGTCTTAGTAGTGATAGTGCTTTTATTGAGTTTTAATTTATTGAAGAATATGTGATAATTGGATATGATAACAAGAAAGTGTGAAATTTTTTGTATTAGAATTCATTTATCTTATCTAATCTTGTCCACAGCTATGTTAGTAATGCGGCGACACTTTCTTAGGTTGTTTAGGCTACGAAATTTGCTTATGCTAACCATCCTCGTCATTCTGCTGTATATAGTGAAGGCGTTCAATGAGATTAATAGGGTAAACAGTGGTGTGCAGGGAAAAGCAGCAGTTGTTAAGGATTCATATCCTGAAAGAGATTATTTTGTACCCACCAGTCTTAAGGTAAGTTTAACATTATGTTTTGGTCTTTTCTATTAAAAAGAACTACTTATAATTAACGGTGCCTTTTTAAGCAATTCTTACTACATCCCATGCATATCTCAAGAAATGGCCACGTCATTTACTCACTCTGTAAACTCAGTGATATATTGAGCCAAGTTCTCATACCCAAAGGACATTGATATTGCATGGCTAGTCTATTAATTAACCTGTGCTTAACTAAATATATTGCATTTTAGTTGATTTAAAATTATAAAAAGACTGAATAATATAGCTTTTATTAAATACTAGCTGATCCCCGCGACTTCGCTCGCGTGTTAGGATTTTTATGTTTTTTCGTGGAACCCTAATTCTTTTTCTAAAACAAAATTAGCCTAAGTTACTCCTTGTGACATCAGCTATCTGCCAGTGAAAATCCCGTCAAAATCGGTCCAGCAGTTTCAGAGATTAGCCGGAACAAACAGACAGACAGACAGACAAAAACTTTAAAAATGGTATTTTTGTTTATAGTACCGTATATACTTTCATATGCATTTAGTGAAAAGCTGTTATTTTGACGTTACAAACAGACACTCCAATTTTATTTATTTGTATAGATAATGAATATGTAAGAGTTCACAGGATGTTTTGGCTCTATATTAGATTTCGTAGTGATAGAATCTCGAAATTTGAATATATCTTTCATGAAATTGTTTTGATAAGAATTGTTTCATTTTTTTTTGTCTTTAAAAATATAAATAAAATGTATGTGTTAGGTATTTAGAGACAATACTACTTGAACTGTCGAACCAAATAAATACAACGGAAAACGATCAATGATGAATATTTAAGTAAATGACATTCTAAGCGATTTAACGTAAATTGTTCCTTAAAAGCACTTATTTGTCGAAGTATAATCTTATCTAAATTATTAAAAATCATACAGATTTCCTATAAAATGCCGGTAAAATGATTTATAATAAAGATATCAATATATATATAACAAAGATATCAAGATACAAAGGTACAGATGTTGCAAGTCCTAAAAAACGGATATAATTGATATGTTATATCAAAAAATTCTGAACAAATGGAAAATGGAATAGCAATGGAATCTTGAAAAACATGTTCTAGATTTTAACAACGATGTGGCTTAAAACCACTGTCGATTTGCATATTATCATAGACTAGCTGTGCCCCGCGGTTTCACCCGCGTCATCACGTGTCGGAGGTGCGCGACATGACCTAGTTCAAGCATTTTATAATTGCAATTAAATATTTTATTTGATAGCAATGGATGGAAAAGTTGGCATAATTAATGGAGTACTTTTATCTGTCGGCATATTACGTATGATGTAGAGCGAAGTTAAGTTTTATCCACTTTCCCTCCCCCTCCCGGTTGAGCAGTTCTCGCAGTTCTCACCGGGCGGCTAGGGTTTATGTGACGTTCGCCCGCCCTGCCAAGTATTGAATTATTTTAATTTTACATTATCTCTTAAACTATGCGTCCAAATAACATGGTATAAAGAACAAAGTTTATCTTCATAACATTGTCTTGATGATGAAGTAACTTTCATTCGTAAGGATAAATAGGCCATGCCTAATAACGCTCATAAATCACTTTTAAATTGTCAATATTTTTTGTCACAAAATACCTAATTATGGCTTATGTATAAGAAATAGACATATGGTATCGCGTACTTTTTTTTAGATGGAGTAAAGATCTATATTTTTCTAGAACATTGTATTTACGTATCCCTAACGATAATACCAGCGTACGCGGATAAATCATTTCGGGAGTGCTTTTTCTTCTGACTTGCTTAACAAATATCCATATTTAAGGCTAGCTGAGTTGTATAGCTTAATGCTAGATAGCCTATACTATTCCACATGAATCTGGCTATAATATAGAAACGGAATTTTTCAAATCGGACTGGTAGTTCCAGAGATTAGCGCGTTTAAACGAACAAAAAAACAAAAAAACTCTTCCGCTTTATTATATTAAGTACTAGCTGTGCCCCGCGGTTTCATCCGCGTCATCACGTGTTCGAGGTGCGCGACATGACCTAGTTCAAGCATTCTATAACGGCTAGGGTTTAAGCGCCGTTCGCACGCCCAGCCAAGTATTGAATTATTTTAATTTTACATTATCTCTTAAACTATGCGTCCAAATAACATGGTATAGGGAACAAAGTTTATCTTCATAAAATTGTCTTGATGATGAAGTAACTTTCGTTCGTAAGGATAAATAGGCCATGCCTAATATTAACGCTTATATATCACTTTTTAATTTTCAATTTTGTTTTGTTACTAAATACCTAATTATGGCTTATGTATAAGAAATAGACATATGGTATCGCGGACTTTTTTTTAGACGGAGTAAAGATCTATATTTTTCTAGAACATTGTATTTACGTATCCCTAACGATAACACCAGCGTACGCGGATAAATCATTTCGGGAGTGCTTTTTCTTCTGACTTGCTTAACAAATATCCATATTTAAGACTAGCTGAGTAATATAGCCTATACTATTCCACATGAATCTGGCTATAATATACAAAAAGAATTTTTCAAATCGGACTGGTAGTTCCAGAGATTAGCGCGTTTAAACAAACAAAAAAACAAAAAAACTCTTCCGCTTTATTATATTAGTATAGATAGATTACAAGTAAGTAATATTTGAGTGTTTTTATTACTAGTTTGAAAAAAAAAAAAACTTCTGCGCTGGTGAGAATTAGTAAATAATCCTATAACATATGTGAAATAAATACTAATACTAATAGTGACTCAACTCGTCGACTGAACGGAGCAACAATGGGGCACGGTATGAAGGAGAGCGGAATCTCCCACCAGCCTGCGACGTCGGCGGTAGTACCGGCCGGCTTCGCTTGCGCACCGGTAAGCCCGTTCAGGAGTGTCAAGCCACTTTGCCGGCTTACACAGATTCTCGCTCCATTTGGCAGTAGATATTTTATGGAACAGTTTTTGTTCACTACAGTTATCTAACAATGTTTATTTTGTTGCAGAAAATAGATTGGCACAACTATAAACAAATCGAATATGAGAGTACGCGTCAAGGTGAGATATTTTTGAGTTATTTTATTTTAGGTTGGGTCGGGGAAAAACTTTTTTTATATTTTGTTTGTATAAAATTGAAGAAAAATCTTGTATGGTTTTAATTTATTTGTATGGTTTTAATACAATACATATAGGACATTAAGAAAAAGAAAAAGTAAAAAGCACTTTCCCGCCATTTTTCGATTGTTTTTCTGTCTGCCAAAATGAGTGAATTTAACGAAGAAATTATATTACAAAAAAGGGAAATATGTGACTCAAGCCGTGAAAAAAATTTGTGACGTTTATGGACCTAATGCAGTACAAAGATAGTTCAAGTGTAAAAGATACACGCCAGATCAAGTAGCAAAACAAACTCATTTAATCAAATCTACCTTACACAGATATTACAATTTTACCCTCAACATTATCAATACATAACATAATACCTTTCTATCCCAATAACACCGTTACAATCATAATTTAGGCCTAAAGTTAAAATAAACCATTTTAATTAATGTTTTCAATATTTGTTTCTAATCACTAATAAACCACAGCTTCTTGCCAATTTGCAATTATAGTTTAGTCAGTACTTGGTATGCCAATAATTTCAGGCCACATTTCTGGTGGTGGTATTTGTATCGGTGGGTCAGACCCAGAAGACGAATTTGATCTTTTACGTAATTGAGGTATTGGCAGGGCATCAGAGGTCTCGTTCTCGGTTACGGCCGTGTATCGCGCCAGTATTTGGTCAACATGTCGGTGAATTAGCAGTCCATCTTCCGTTCTCACCATATAACAACCAGGACCCTCGACATACTCAATGGTGGCGCGTCGCCACTTCTTTCCTGGCCCATAGGCACGTACTAGCACGGGCTGGTTGAGCGCGAAGGCTCGACCGGGCACCCGCTGCGTCACCTCTTCCAGCTGCCGCTCAGAGCGCTCTGGTCCACTGTCCGGATGTAGCGCCGACACCGCAGTTCTATATTTACGTCCATTCAACACCTCTGTAGGAGTTTTACCGAGGTGATTCGGCACCGTTCTATATCGTAGCGAGTATAACACCCTAGGTAGTTTCTCAGTACATAATACCCCTGCATGAGACATTTTCTTGAGCTTGTTCTTGAAGGTCTGTATCGCCCGTCCGGTTTGTCCGTTCGTCGCCGGGTGATATGGGGGTGTGTACAAGGGTTCGATGCCGTTGTTTTGTAGGAAATTATTAAATTCCCTTGAGGCTCTGCAGTTGTCCGAAATTAATTTTCTGGCAATCCCTGCGAAGCAAAAATCCTGCGACAACTAGCTATTAGGCCTTCACTAATCATATTTGATAAAATATCTGCCTCAAACCATTTGCTATAGCAGTCAATCATTACAAAAAAAGTCTTCCCTTGAAATAGTCCTGCAATATCAACATGGACACGACTCCATTGTGAGGTAAAATCCATGTGTGCGGATCTCTTGGTGGATTGTTTCTCACGGCTTGACATAACTCACAACCAGTCACTGTGGCCTCTATCTGAGCGTCCATACCGACAAACCATACGTATCCTCTAGCATAAGCTTTCGTCTGGACGATTCCAGCATGCGGTGCATGCAATACCTTTAATACCTGCTGTTGTAAAGAAGTGGGTATAATGACTCTGTTACACCACAATAAACACTCTTTATTATGTGAAAGAGCCTCTCTTCGCGTCCATTACGGCTGGAGTGTGGGGTCAGTGTTTTTGCCAGTCCAACCATGTAGCACATGAAAGAAAACCTTTTGTAGTACCGGGTCTTTTTTAGTTTCAGCAGCAATTTTTGCTGCATCCAAGTTTAATCCAGAGGGAGGTTCCTCTAAAAGTAGCACATCCGCTAACGAACCCATCCCTCGCGCTTCAGCTGCGTTAACAGAAGTCCATCGGCTGAGAGCATCTGCATTACCAATGCCTTTTCCAGGTCTGTATTTTATGTCATATTCATAACACGCCAATTTCCGAGGCTATCGCAACATTCTGGGTGAATTCTGATCCGGAATAGGTTTCTTCGGATTAAACAATCCAATTAGTGGCTTATGATCTGTAATAATACAAAACTTCCTTCCTAGTAAAAATTCATGAAATTTTGTAACCTGCTACATATATATTTTGTTATGTTGTAGCTTGGTACATATATATTTATCTATCTTTGTAACCCCAAATATTATCGCTAAAGATTCTTTATCAATCTGTCCATACCGTCGCTCGTGGGGTTGTAATGTTCTGGAGGCCATCATCACTGGTCGTTCTGACCCATTTTCCATCACATGGGCAATTATTGCACCTACACCATATTCAGACGCATCACAGATTAACAATAATTCTCTTTCTAAGTCATATCCAACTAAGGTTAAATCAGATGACAACAAATCCTTAGCTTTATCAAAGGCAACTTGCTCTAACGAACCCCATACCCACGGTTTCTTTGCTTCCAGCAATCGATACAACGGCTCCAGTATTGTGGCTTTGTCCATAATTAATTTTTCATAAAAATTGTATAAACCTAAAAATGCCCGTAGTTCTTCTCTGTTCCTAGGTGCTGGTTTCTCCTTTATCTCTTTCACCTTAATAGGTGACGAGTGCAGTCCCTCTGCATCAATCATATAGCCTAAAAACTTATCTGGTTTGATGCAAACACACATTTGTTCAGGTTTAACCTAAATCCCATTGCATTTAGTTTAGTCATGACTGCCCGTAGTCTTTGATCATGTTCCACCTTATTCTTTCCATTAACAGCGACATCATCCAATATACATGCTACTCCTTCCATACCTACAAGTGCAGTCGACATCACACGCTGGAAGATTCCAGGCGCTGCGTTTACTCCAAAAGCTAACCGGTTCATCTTCATTAACCCTAATGGAGTATTAAGTGTTAACAACATAGCTGTCTCCTCATCCACTTTCATCTGCATGTAGGCCTGTTTTAAGTCAAGCTTACTAAAAACTCTTCCACCACTTAATTTCACAAAGGACTCATTAGCAGCTGGTAATGGAAAAGTATCAGTCTCTATGGCTAAATTAACAGTTGATCTATAGTCACCACATATTCTAAGCGAGCCGTCATCTTTTTTTACAATTCTTAATGGAGTAGTCCATTTGGAGTATTTTACAGTGGCAAGGCATCCGCTCGCACATTTAAGGACACTTGAGGGCCCTTATACTCTCCAAGTCCTTCTTTAAATAACTCCGGAAAGGCTTTTAATAATTCATTAATCTTATCATCTGTCCAGCATATGCCAGCTATCTGTAAACCCAACATTTTAAATCAGTTTCTTCCTAAAAGTCTAGGCCCACGAACAGAAACAACCAGTAGCTCACATTGTGCTTCCTTGTTTCCTAATGATACTCGAACATGAGCTCGGCCTAACACCTTCAGTTCACCACGGGTCCACGTAACCAACTTCACGCCTGTCGCCTCTAAAGGTGGGGGAACAGACCACAGCTTATAATATGTATCTTCGGACAGGATTGTTCTTGAACCACCTGAGTCCACTTCCATGCTAACCTCCACACCCTCGACAATAACATCTGCTTTAAATGGTGGTCGAATATTATCTGAGCAGACAAAGATACCCATCATCTGTTCAGATTTTTCATTTTCTATATCTGAAGTTGAACTTTCCTCCACCTGGTGCAACTTGCCAGATTTCTTCATACAGGCCGGCGCAATATGTCCAAACTTCTTACAATAAAAACATTTTGCTTTTATAAAAGGACATCTTTCGCCCTCACTGTGTGACCGTGCACAATGACGATACGTGATCGCTTTAATTTTACCAATATCCATAGGTACTATAGCTGTGGACGGAGTTTGCTTTAGCACACTTGTTTCCCGGTACAAATCTGAGAATGTGCCTTGATAGTTAAGGCTCAATTGCACTGCTAACTCATAAGTAAGATTTTTCGTCTTTAACAACTCACGACGGAGACGCTCGTCACACACTCCTAATACTAATCGGTCCCGTAGCTGCCTTTTTAAGTCTATAAAATTACACCTGAAACTCAAAGAGCCAATGGCCGCAATAAAGTCCTGAATACTTTCTTTATGATTTTGTTGACGTTTATGAAATTTATCAGTTTGTAAAATTTAGTTCACTTGAGGTTCATAGAATTGGTCAAGCACTACCAAAATGTCTTTAAATGTCACAGAAGTCGGTCTTTCTAGGCACCAACAATGAAACAATTAATGAATATGTGTCCTTTCCACATTGTGATAGAAAAAGGGCGCGTGCTTTGTCAACATTATCGCCAATTATATCCGCGGTTTCCAGAGCACACAATAAACGTTCTTTATATTCACTCCAATTGTCAGTCCTGGGATGAAACTTTTCCGGGAAACACCACATTTGCCAAATTACACGCCATATTACTGTTTAAACTAATTAATTTTCCTCGTCGCCATTAAAAGATACACGCCAGATCAAGTGGCAAAACAAACTCATTTAATCAAATCTACCTTACACAGATATTACAATTTTACCCTCAACATTATCAATACATAACAAAGTGTTTTCAGTCCGGGAATTTTGATGTCAAAGATACAGCTCTCTCTCTGGTCGCCCTCATACGGATTAAGTCGATGCCATTTTTGAAAAAGTGTACAGATATATTATTTTTCAAGAAATTAATTTTTAAAGTTTTGTAGTATATTGGTATTATAAATACACTGTGATGAGATTTTTTTATATTAGAATAATGATGACAACCGAGAACCCAGTCCACCTGATGGTAAGTGGATGCTGTGGCCTATATACATCTAGGTACATCTATCCTCAATTAAGAATAAAAATGCAGATGCACCCCTTAAGCTGGAATGCCTCATTACTAGTAAAAAGAGTCTCCGAGACGCTACACTCACCATAAGAAACACATCAGTATTCTGATGTTTCACGCTGGTATACTATGGGAATGTGGTCCTAATTGATTAACGCCAAAATCTTCAAAAAAATTACGTGATACAGCCAAGCTGCAGCAATATTGTAGCTGCAGAACGAATGGGTCGGCT